ACCATCTTTTACAACTAATATAGCTGCACATGGATCCCACACATTACAAATACACAGTCATCAAAGAGAAGATGTTATTGAGGGGAAAGGGGACTTTATTGTTGACAGGTAAGTGGACAGGTAACACCTAACTGGGACACACATAATGATGAGAACAGGTATTACAGATGAAAGAAGGCAAAGGTGGTAAGTCAACACAAGTAAGTATAAACCATGGCAGGAGGAAAGAGTATATAGCCTACCCAAGGGGAGAACAGACATTGAGGAAATTAGACAGCATTGTCTAAATCATATGGTTGTTTATCAAGTCATCAATGATCATTAAACGTTGACTTGGAAACGAGATGGATGGTGTATCATCAGCTACTTTTTATTCTGTTTTGTTGTAGAAATTATTGTATTTTGTTAGACAGAAGTTCAGAATTTAAGTTCAGAATTTAGTTAGGAGTTATAGTATCATGTTGAATTTGTTTGAAATATTTTACATTTTTGATGAATGCATATGTTGTTTGTCACTACATGTCTGCCACTTTAATTAAAATAAAATATTGACTGGGCAGTTTTGAAGACTCACTTCATGAAATGCTGAAAAAATAAAATATTGTAGGATATTACAGATATCTTCAAACATCTAAATCATTTAAATTTTGGGAAACTCAGTACAAAATAAAAAAAAGGAAGGTATTGATAAGGATTACTGTAGCTACACTAAGGACAGCTCACATGTGCTGCACCTGGAATAACAGCTTCTACGTTCAGGAAGGAGTTGCAGGATACTACAGAAGACATTCAAATTCCCTTTAGATGGCTCAACTGGAGTAAATGTGTGTAAAAAATTGAATAGATTTTAATATGTTTTAAATCGTTAGATGATTGTACATGCAAGACAGCGAATATCAGTAACAGTAACCTGTTGTCAGTGACCTGATTCATACAGACATGCCCATATACTTGTAGGTCCTCTCAAAATACAGTCACATTACACACCACAAACCAAATTGAAACTCACAATCACAAACATAGCTCAGAAAAAACACCAAACAGTTAGAGTATATGACTGAAAATGAAAAAGTAAGATTTACAGCATCACAATTTTGAACAAAATCTTAACTGATAAAATAAAATGTCAAAACCAAAATTCAACATAACATTATTCAGGCCATTTACGTGATATCAAGAGAACAAAAGTATTCATGAATATATAGTGCTCCACTCCTAAAGAACTGTTTGAAATCTTTTTATCAAGCTCAGCAATTTCTGTCTCGTTCCCACAAATATCTTGACATTTCTGTTTGTAGAGTTCTCTGAGTTGAGGCAGTACTTCATGAGATTTATTCTCTAGAGCGATTCTTAACCATTTTAAGAAGTAGGCTCTTTCTGGTGTTGATATTGCACTGATAAAGCAGCTCATGGTAGCAGACATGTCTTTGGTGCATTGTTCTTCTCTGAGTTTATTTTTCTGCATCAAAAGGTAATTTTTGTAGTTCTCAACACTCATATCCCCTACTTTCTTCAACTGACATTCTTCCTTCTCTAACTTGGCCAATTTCATCAATATTTCTCCTTGCAAGGGTAGGTCCTCCTTCTTGAACTGCACTATATAATTAATTTTGGATGTGATTTCATCTGCACTTGCTTTGGCACGCTGACATTCTTCAGCATCCTCATCCACCAAGATTCCCAGTTTTCGTGCAATCTCAGCTAAACGAACAACTGACATTTTGTGATTGTTGTTCTTAATTGCATCTTGCAACTTGCTTTGAATTTTGTCAACGAAGTCTGCATCATTCTGCTTGGCTTTAAAAATGAAATTACTTTTCTTCAGATTGAGCTTGTTGACTGTAGCTTTTATGCTGTTGTTGTTGGAGTCCCCTACAAAGAATAGCTGAGGTGTAGATTTCTGACTGGGGACTGAAATTAACTGTGAATCTAAAAGTTGGGGTTCAAAGAACACAAACACAGCAGTTGAAGCCTCACAAAGAAAGTCATACGGTGTTCTAAAGTTCTGAATGTCACCTCTCAAGTTGGCAATCGCTACAGGTTCAGGAAAGACATCAATGTTCGTGTTTCCACAAGGAAGATACCAGGCCATCTCAACCAAGCCATCTGATATTTTCTTACTGATGTTTCCACAATCCATGTTGAAGTGCACAAAGGTATCAGTGTACTGCTCTGGATTGCTGAGTAACTTATTTAGAATTTCTGATTTGGAAATGTTGCATCTACCAAGTCTCACAAAAGACACTAAAGGTAATTCTGAAAGAGCAATCCTTTCTTCCACAAATGCACTTGGATCTGATAGGGTGTGTGGTATGTATTTTTTCACAATATCTCTCATTGCCCAAAGCATAAGAGTGATCTGACTGTTATCAGTGTTTGGAAGCAGGAGAGGAACAGCAAACTGACACATGGACATTTTTATGATCATTTCCTGCTGAAGAAAACTGTCAGAACAAAGAAACACAGCAGTCAAAATATCTAAATGATTTACTGACTGAGGACAGTCTGATTCAGCCTCCTGATCATCATCCCACTCTGAATCTTCTCCCCTATCTGATGAGGAACACTTAACGCTCCTCGCTGTCCTTTGTAGCATCATCAGTCTCTTCAAGAACAGCCATGGCAGATCTGAAAGGGACTGAACAGACACATCTGTGATACTGGTCTTGTCAATCTGCAGCACTGTGTGTAGAGTGAGCTTCTTATCATAGTACTCTGCCAAACCCAAGTTTTCCAGTAGTTTCTTCATGATGTTCCCTGTAAACGAGACCAAAATGGGTTACTTTTGCTGTCTCTTGCCCAGTCAGCACTGCACTCATTCATTAATTAAGTGCAATTAATTATGAATATTCATGTTTTTCGCACGTCCTCAAATCAGCAGACTACAGTCAACTCACCACATCAACCTATCTGAGTGAATGGAACTCAGAAAAAGAAAACCAGCAAGATTGTATCGCAGTGTGCTGACCAGATGCATCACTGTCTGGTAGGGATGTAACAATTCACTCAACTCACAATGTGATACAATTAACGATACGGATCTCACAATACGATTTTCTCACAATCTTTTTTCAACAAAATGAGATTTAAGATAAATTATAAATGAAAATATGTCCTTTATTATTTCTTGGACAAAATGCTACACATTTTTCTTTGTGAAATTGAAATATGTCAAATAACAAAACTAAATTGCAAATTTAAAACCAACTCCAAATCAAATAAATAAATAACACAAAACAAATCTCTTCATATACATAAACCAAGGCTTTGCCTGTGCTCCTTCCATATAGAGGCACAATGCATTTTAATCATGATCCAAGCAGAGATGTATGGAATGCCATCTCTTCCATAATTAGAAAGAAATGTATAAAGAAATGTACAAAGAAATGTAA